TGTATTTTTGGGGAGGGCCTGATCTTGCTGGTATGCGTTAGGTGTGTGTAAAAGGGTGGGGTACCTAGGGGGTGGCCATGTTACCCCCAGGTCCTTAACCATGCCAGTCTTGCCCTACAAGCACCCTCATTCTTTCCTGCCACGTCTTGATGGTATGATGAATATAGGGAAGCTGCCCTTGAGCTTTAGTTTTGGACACGGTCAGGCTAGATCCTATTAACCCTGTTATTTCTAAACCCCCTGATGTCCCGCTTCACTGTGGATGGTTCCCAAGTCTCTCAGCCTTATGGGCCATATGCATGGCTCCAAGCACCCCTTTACCATGCCCCAAGCCTCGCAGACGATACAGGCGTTGTCTTGCCTAGGCCTCTTATTAATTCGGCTCCTTGTCCTCGTTGGGCTCTCCACAGCCCCGTCTCAAGTGCTGCGGCCTCTCTGGCGCTGGGCTCTCCACAGCCCCGTCTCAAGTGCTACAGCCTCTCTGGCGTTGGGCTCTCTACAGCCCCTTCTCAAGTGCTGCGGCCTCTCTGGTGTTGGTGTCTGTGCCCCAAAATGCTGTGCCGTCTCTGGCGCCGGGGTCTGTTCCCCCAAAATGCTGCACGCTCTCTGGTGCTGGGGTCCCCACGCTGCAGTGGGCCCCTATGAGGCCTCCTTCTTCCCCAACTAGCTTCACCCAAACCACCAGCTGTTATCAGACAGCACGCACTTAACCATCAACTATCATGAGTCCCTGGGCTATAACTTAATGCAGAACTCACATCATGCTCTGCTCCTTTAAAAAAGTAAAACTCCCCCTCTGAGGCTCGGTGCCTAGTAAGCAAGGATACCTTATGATCTCCTGGTGTCCCCTTTGTTCTATGGGGAATGTATCTGCTGGCTACCACATCTCTGGGCCCTCCCTTCTCCGGAGGCTCCTTCCCCTTTGGCTGCTGGTAAGAGGCTAACTTCCTGGTTCCAGCCCTGGGGTTTATATGGGCTAAAGGCCCTGCCTCCTCCAGCCAGCTGACCAGGTACAGGTGCAGCCAATTCCTTCATCAACCAGTTGTCATGGCAACCTGCACCTGGGTTCTTATCTCTGCTTTAAGAGGAGCAGGCACCTTAGTGCCCTGCTACACACCTCCCCCCTTAAGACCCAGACTCACCAGGATGGGTCTTCACGCTTGTCCATCTCACGTCCTTTGTCTTGGTCCTCTTAAGTTCTTGTTCTTGCTCACCGACAGTTCAGATACGTAGAGGTGGAGGTTTTCAGGCACCTCCTGTTCACCTTTTCCCCAAAGCGCACCATGTGGGATTTCATGGGAGTTGCCCCACCACCGGGCAGTCCCCCCACATTAGCCAACCTTGGTAGGCTGAACTCTCAGTTGGTTGAGCTCCTTGCCTTCTAGGGTCTACCCTCTCCTCTGCTACTCTCCTGCGGGTGGGGGGGGGGAGGGGGAACTTTCCCCCACTCCTGTACCTGCTGTCTGTCAAAAATGAGCCCTGTTGTGGGCTGGCCCAAATCTTCTCACTCCTCCCCAGGGAGCTCTTGCCTACTTTTGGGGGGTTTTTCTCCCCCTTCCATCTGGCTCATCTATATTCCACCCCTGTATACCCTGGTCTCTTTCCTAGGGCAGATTGTGGGGTTTCTTGCTTCCCTATGGCTCTCTGGAGATCATGAAGCCTTCCCCAGATCTCCTACTGTCTCCCCAATGCCTTCTGGGCATCATCTTCCTTCCAGAACTCTATCTTCCCCTGCCCAGTGGGTCTTTCTTCAGGTCCCTTACAAACCTTTACATAAGCTACACCCCCAACTTTTGCTTCAGTAATTTTTCTCGATGTCCACCAGCTGACCTGCCCATGCTCTCTGCCTGAGTTGTAACCCTGGCCTTACCTTTCTCAGTCAGGGCCTCAGTTTTACTCCGTAAGATCACTGGCAGTGGGAATCCCCCCGCTCAGCCCAACCTTGTGAGCTGTAGTCCCACTGCCTTTCTATAAATCCGTCCTCTGTTATACTCTGGCCCACAGGTTCATTCTCCCTCTTAAGGACACAGGCTCCTTCTCTTCACATGGCCAATGCACCAATGTAACAGAGCGGGGTACCTGGGGGTGGCCGTGTTACCCCCAGGTCCTTAACTGTGCCAGTCTTGCCCTACAAGCACCCTCATTCTTGCCCACCAAGTCTTGATAGTATGATGAATATAGGGAAGCTGCCCTTGAGCTTTAGTTTTGGACACGGTTGGGCTAGATCCTATTAACCCTGATATTTCTAAACCCCCTGACGTCCCACTTCACTGTGGGTGGTTCCCGAGTCTCTCAGCCTTATGGGACATATGCGTGGCTCTGACCATCCCTTTACCATGCCCCAAGCCTCGCAGATGACATAGGCATTGTCTTGCCTACGACTCTTATTAATTTGGCTCCTTGTCCTTGTCGGGCTCTCGCAGCCCTGTCTCTGCACCCTCTCTGGCACTGGGCTCTCCGCAGCCCTGTCTCAAGTGCTGTGCCCTCACTGGCACTGGGCTCTCTGCAGCCCCGTCTCAGTGCCGTGCCCTCTTTGGCTCTGGGCTCTCCACAGGCCTGTCTCAAGTGCTGCGCCCTCTCTGCTCTAAGAGGAGCAGGCACCTTAGTGCCCTGCTACAGTGTGCTTTGATGATGTCTATCAGTTCAGGTCCCTTGTAGATCTTAAAAAGTTTAGGCAGGATCTGAGCTTAGGCACCTTCAGGGTTTAGTGGGCACTGCGTGGGGTTTTGAATTGCAGCTTTGGATTTAGGCACCTCTAGTATTATAAGTCCTGTTTTAGACATCTAACTCCTATTTTGGGTTTGGCCCCAAGTCCTCTGTGAATGAACAAGGAATTTATAGTGGGCCTGCTTGCTATGAATTTGGATCTGGAGGAAACCACCTTTTCCATACACCAAAAAAAAAATAAAATTAAAAGTAAGAATAGAAGAGAACAAGTTCTCTGTTCACCAGTTAAAGGAGGTTTCTTTGTATTTGTTTTAGGTTCAAGATTCTCTTATGAAGAGACAAGGATACCATAAAACAGGGGTGGTCCCTGCAGGCTGGAAGAGGGGTGTGGGGCCAGTCTCTGGGCCCAGCCCCTTGGGCTGGTTTAGGCTCACCCTGGACTGGCCATGTGGGCTGCTTGCGGTATGTGCACCAGATCCAGCCCCACCTGCCACATGCATCACATATGGCTAATCTGGTATGGGTGGAACATGTAGCACCTGCCACAGACTAGCCCCATGCCATATGTAGTCTGCACTCTGTGGCTCTGTGCACCACATGGGACCAGAGCCAGGGCTAGCACATCCTGCATGCAACAGGCAGCATTGTGGCCTGGATGATATGGCTTCATAAGCTGTATCTTTGGCACCTCTACTATAAAACATTTGAGAGAAAAATATTGCAACACTGCAACATTTTCCCCTCTATTATGGTAAAAAGGTCAAAATAATTTACATTAAATTTTATACACACAATCAGATGTGCAGAAGAGCCATGTAAGCTGAGCCTCATGGAATATATTCTTACAGCTGAGTCATAAACCCCTAAAAACTAGGATGTATAATGAAAATGCTGACACATCTGTAACTGTACAGTGACAGTAGTAGAAGCTTCTATAACAACAATTAAAATGCTTACAAACTGCAGCAAACTGTGGGAACAAGATGTACAGTTACTAACTTTCTTAATTGACCAAATATACCTACATAATGATATTAATAAACATGTTACCCAAAAGCAAGTCCCAGTAATGTTAAGGAGTATGATTGACATTCAAATACAAAAAAGCTTTCCCCATTCCATCTGTTTACCGTTACAAGGATTGACAGGCAAGTAAAATCAAATCTGACTGACTGGTAAAAGGCTGCATAAAGATTTGTAATATTCAGAAAATAGTTTGTCATTGGTATTTTCAAGAAAAATTGACAGGATATGACATCCTATTTACTTTCAAGAAAGAGCAATTATATTGTAAACATAAAAAGTGGCTGATTATAACATTACATGAGATTTGAAGCCAGCAGCTTCAATTACTATAGCCAGATTCTGGCCAAGAATAATATGCCTTATGGGTGCTTCATCTGATGTTTTTGCTTAGAGAAGAAAAGTAATTAAAAAATAGGCAAGGACATCATCACCAAGTGAATAGAAATAGAAACATGTTACTAGTGGGTTTGTTTGTACTGTGAGAATATACATATAAATAAGAAAGAAAACCTATATTTAAAAAAAAAAATAGCCTGAGTTTGTAATTTAACTCTTTAACAGCTGATGTCTGTCCTCTTGGATTGAGGGACAATTCCAAACATTTAATCAAAAAGGCTATAATTTATTTTTGTGTGTGCCAATATACATTTGATCAATGTCCCATTTAAATAAATTTCCAGTCTGGTCTCTGAAATTTTTCATGTGCTTTTATGTGCACATATAAACCCATTTTAGCAATCATTATGAACGAGCATTTTAGAGTTGCAAATCACATACTCAAACCTTTTACTTTATTTGTGTACAAAACTGCCTTTTTCATACTGATGGTTGGACAAGCAAGCTTGCATATGCAACTTGAAGCTATACTTCAAACCATGGGTCTAAATTTTATAAAAGACCTCTTTATAAGACTGGTAACTTATTCAAAATGTCTTCACAAGCATGTGTAGTAGATTTTCACCACTGGGGAGAAACATACAAATAAAAACCCTGTTTATTTATTAGAACTGAGAGATGCTATTCATATTTCCAAAACATTAAAAACAAATATATTATTTCACTTTTATCATTTTGTTCTATCAATTTAAGCAAATAATCAGGAGTGTACTTTTCCCTTACATGTACTGAGTCAAGCAGAAGCAGTGAATCAAAGTGAGCCATGGAAAACAGAATTAAACACTACATGCTTTATTTATAATTCTGTCTGCAGATGGATTATAGCTCTGATCATTTTTGTCATTGGCTTGGTTTAAGAAGTTTATTCTGGTATATGTCATTCTTTTTTTTTTCCACTTTTCATTCAATAGGATGAGGCAAAGGCTCTAGCAAACCCTTTAATTAGTTCAAGTGGAAAAGCACCATCAGCTCCCAGAACCATAACCTCCTTCCACTATATAGGCGGGCGAATTGCCAGTGCAATGTGCCAGTTCTTTTTACCACCCATTGGCCCCAACATCCCTCTGTCAAACAAACCTCTAAAGAAGCAACCTTCACCACAACATCAAGACTCAAAGCAGACCCATATGGAAAAAAACCCTGCACGTCCTTCTTTAAGGTAATAGTCTTTTCTGTCATGGCACATGCATATATTCCATTTTTCCTCCATTTATAAAAATGAGGCAGAGATCCCAAGTTAATATTATTTATAATTTACAACAATACCTGCCCCTTGAATCTGGCATCTGAAAATGTTCGGCAAAATAGTTAATCTTTCTGGATAAGGTCTAATGTTTATGATGAAACACTTTTATGCTTTGCATTTAGACAGTCTTGTCTGCATGTCATCTCAGTCTGATGCTTTATCAAGTCTAAAGCAAGTGCTTAAATAAGGAAAACATCTTGCCCAAGATTAAGGGCTTTCTGAATTTATTTTGAGTAGGGTGCTTTAGCAGTGCTGTTTTCAAGAAGGTAACCGGTAATCAAAGTAAAATGAGATCACTCAATATCGTACACTGGGTTTAAATGAAGTCTTTATTGCCCAATTTTGCAGTCGTGCCACATACAAAAGTAACTTCAGGGAACTCAGTTCTATTAGTGCACATGCATTTTATTCCAGAGGGCCAATAAGAAGATTGACATTTCAACTACACATTACAAAGACATCATACTCAGGCAAAATACTGACCATTTGCCTAATCCTGGAACTAGTCATTACTTGTTATGCTAACTTTATGTTCCACTGAGTCTTTTGATGTTCTTTTTGTACAACAGGTCTGCAGAATGGTGCCCAAGAATGTCAGTTAAATCTTTTATACTCCACACTTTTGTTTTGTCTCTTCTCTGTAGTGTAGTTCTTAATTCTTCAGCTGCCCCTATAATTCTTAGTGTAAATGGACAGTGGTAGATAAGTCTTGTGGAATTGATAGAAATTAACAGAACTGTTTACACAAATTCATGCACAAATGGATATGCCTACCTACAAAACTTGTGTACAAATGTTCAGAGGTAAGTAGGAAATTATTATTGTTCATTGTATTATTTTCTTTGAAAGGGGAAGAAAAATCACATGTAACACTCATTCTGACTTTTGAATACAAATGAAATGTTGACTAGATATTCAAACCAATTTTGCCTGCCATACTTGATTTTGCTATGTATCTTTCAGTTGCCGTAGTACACTAACTTAGTTAATAATAGTAAAATCTCCTGAAGATGAAAGGCATTGTATAATTGTTGCTGTTGTATAATTAAGAAGTTGCTTTCATTTTGTAGTGCCCCATTTTTCTTAAAATAAAAAGCACACCCACAAGGTGCTCCTGCTGTGTATTTTCTATGCCATTTTTTTATGGTCAATATAAAACATCACTTCCTGATTTGGAAAAATCAAGTATCTAAACAACTTAAAATCAAACTCTTATGGTAAAGTTCATACTATAATATGACCAGAGGACTTCATTATTTATTTATTTTCCCTCAGCTACAAACAATCGTGACAATTTATACTTCTCTTCAGGGATGGGAAGTTCTTACAAACCAATGAATGGTAATAGGGAAAAATATCCACAGATGAGACAGCTATATATAAACATATTACAGCTTCTGGAAAAAGATAAGTCATTATTTTTCCATGTGTATCAAAGGAAAAATATGTCAGATCTGAACTGAACTATGAATACAGTCTGTTGCATAAACAGGGAGAAGTGTAACGCAGAAACTTTACATGCTTAGATTTTACATTGTGCCTTAAGATCCAAAAATGTTCTTTATAACCGTTGAAGTAACCATTGTTCTGAAAGCAGCAGGATTAGAGAGCAGTTGAGCAGAAAAGTTTTTGGAAATGGACCTCTTGACCATTACAGTCTAGGTTGGTGGTGTTTAAAACCTAAAACTGTGACACTCAACATACATAAATGTAATGAGGCCGCTATTGGCCTTTGCCATTAAGTAGGGGTGTGCAAAGCGGGCCCTATTCAATTCAGATTTGGCCTGAATCAGGGACCATGATTTGATTTGTTGATTCAGATCACTGTCCCCGATTCAATTCAGCCAAACCCGAATCTGAAAATTCAACGCTGATTTTGGAGACACAGCTTTAAATGTTTTTCCTACATACCTTCAGGTACCAGCGGAGCCTGTGAATGCTGCAATGCTGGGGTGCATGGTGTGTCCCACCGGAGTGCAGGGGGCCCTCCACATACTTGGTGGTGAACCCAGAATTGGACCAGAAGTACTTCCGGTCCACCTCCGGGTCCACCGGGGAGCACCTGGGGGCCCCCCCACATCCCACTGGCTTGTCAATCGGCTGTAGGGGGATCCTGGGTGCCCTGCAGGCCCAGGAGGCACCAGTTGCTGAGCCAGGAGGGTGCGGTGGGGCGTAGGGCCCCCCCCCCATGTGCTCCCTGGTGGACCCGGAAGTGGACTGGAAGTGCCTCTGGTCCACTTCCAAGTCTGCTGCTGAGCACCGTGCACTCCTGTGGGACACTCCATGTGCCCCAGCATCTCAATGTTCATGATCTTTCTGCTACCTAGAGGTATTTAGAAAAAACATTTAAAGTTGTGTCTATGTCCGAATCGCTGAATCTTTCTGAATCTCTCCAAATCAATTTGGAGGGCTCTGATTTGATTTGAAAAGATTAAAGCGTCCTCTGATTTGATTTGGAGATTCAGCCACCGAATCAGGCCAAATCTTAGCCGAGTCAAATCAGGGACCAAAGCTTTGCACAGCCCTACCATTAAGTTCCTTCCTATTCAGTGTGACACTTGCACCCAGGACTTTTTTCTCTTCAGGCAACTGTGTCTCAGCTGCTGTAAGTTGTGCTTGGCTGTAACAGTATCTAAAGATCACTGGAGCATATGAAAACTCTGCCATGCCCTTCTTCATCAGAAGTGCTCTGATATGTCACCTCACCTGGCACTGAGTCAGCTCTCCGTGACTGATGTCGTAGAATCATAGAAGTAGGGTCGGAAGGGACCTTGTAGATCTTCAAGTCCGACCCCCTGCCTGGGCAGGAGGGAAACTGGGCTCAAGTGACCCC